TTTAGAATTTATTCAGTAAGACAAAATTTATCTCTGTGCCCAGCAGAAGGAATATTTGAGATAAAGTCCATACACCTATCAAAACTGGTAGGGCAGGATGCTGCTATATCTTATAGCAGTCTGTTTGTCTCCTTAAGCATATGCTTCTCTCTAAGACAGCTCAGCTATATGGAATCCTGTGTTGCTGTTATTAGACTTGTGTTCTCACCTAGTTTGATTAAGGCTATCCTTAATAGTCAGTGTAGCTAGATAGAACACCTCAAAAAGTTATTCTCAAACACCACATGCAAAGTTAGATGACTATAAAGCAAAATAAAGTGAAAAAATGAGTAAGTTTTTGGAACCAAAGCTTCTTTTAAAAATACACTGAAAGTGTACTCATATGTTGCAGTTGGGTTTTGAAAATGTATCTTAGAAAGGCATATTTTTGAGAAACATCAAGCCTGAGCTGGATTTGAATCCAGCTTCCGCTAAAGTTTAGTACAGCACATTATTATTATTTAGAAACATTTCAAGTCACAGAACAGTGGGAAAAATATGATTCTATTCATTATACAGTTATTTATTCTTTTAACATGCTGTGAACTTCATTGTGCAGAGAACATTACAATTAAATATGTTGATCAGAACAGACATAAATGCTCACACTAAGTAATAATGGTAATACTATTAGGTCACTGATACTCATTTTTGTGAAGTGATAATTTTATTGGAGAACAATATTCGAGATGCAAACATTTATTGTGCTTTTATAGACAATTGTTTCATTAAGTGTTTAGTGAGCATTGGCATCACAGGGAGAAAATTGTGTACCTCAGCTGCTGTCCTGCCTGTGGCTGTAATGAAGTCTCTGTAGTAATCTAGTTGTATTGAATTAGGAAAAAAATTAAATTCTAATTGTCAACATAAAGCCCAGCAAACTGTCAGTAAAAGCATACTGACTTAAGCCTTGTTGACATTGATGACAAAATGGTACTTTGTGGCCAAGAAAAAAACCAGATTCTTCTGCATTATTAAACTTCAAATCACATAAATTATGTAATCAACTGACTTTTTGTACAGCTTGGTAATGAAGTTATTTGCATATATATTTTCCCTTAGATTTTCAAGGGTGCAAAGGGATTTCCAAATGTCTTCATTAGAAAATTTTGAAGTGTTGTGTACAAGTCTACCTTCACTTCTGAAAGTTACAAGAAGAAAAATCTTGAAATTCCTCTGATTTGACACCTACATGACAAAAGTAGTCTATAATACATAATTTTTTTATTTTATTGTGAGGCAGAGTTTGTTTAGTCTCCATCCTTGGGGTTGGATCAGATCAGCTCTTCAAGCTCCATTCTGTGATTCCATGGCATATCCTAGTAGAGGTCTCAGAAGAACCACACTCTCCAAATGCTTCTGAGCTGCTGAAGCAGATTTAGTATTGATCCAAATTATACTAAAGAGAAAAATAAGTAAAATCCAACAAATACAGAATTGCCAATCAGAGCAATAAGGACTTAAGCTCTTTTGCATGTAATGTACAGTAGAGTGATGAGGCTTTTATTGTATCTGGCCAACAATTTGTGGCCCAATGACTGTAGTAGGGTCAGTTCCTGACACTGTTTTGGCTGCCTTTGAATGTCTTGAATGGGTAGTACCATAAGGAGAAGTCTTAGGAGGTATCAGGTGTAGCCCATATAAAAATGATTTCAGAGTAAGCTGCTCTCTCCATCCAAATTTTAATTCTCTTAAAATGTATCTCTACTACCTTGTCAATCTACTCATAGTTGATAGAATCCTAACCAAAGCAAGATAATACAATATTATTCTGTATATATTGGAAGTATTCTAGATTACCAAACACTTGCAGAAGAACAGGAACAATTCATCTGCTTCAACACATACTGGAAGTGACAGCAAGAGCTTTATGTATTTTAAGTGTGTATTTAAAGCATTTTAAATGCTTTCCAAAAAATATCATCCTTTTATGCATCAGGCTTTTTCAAAAGATACAACCCACTTGCTTTCCATCTTATTTTTTTTTTTATAATGAGCTCCTTGATTTCATCCAAAGTCTTGATTTTAGAGCCATGGCTGGGATGAGAAAAATAAGCATTTGTGTATTTGCTACACAAGACGTGTTATGGTTCTTACAGCACTTGCTGCTCTGTGTGATGCATTTTTCACTATGTATGGTAAACTTTCAGCTAAAGTCTATAAAGAAAACAGTAACATTATTTTCTGCTGTAAGCTTAATGCCACCTACTGCGTGAGGGGAAGCAAAATGAATGACCTGCTGTGGTGTCATAAAAAAAGAGCTCTCCACAGCATTACCTTCTGGCCAAGAGGCTGTGTTACTTTCAGGATGAGAGGGGAGAGCTAGCTGGTTCAGGTAAATCATCTGGATGATATTTTGTGCTATGGCTAATCATGACCAGATTGCTTTTTTGGAGTTTTTTTTTTTTCCTCTGAATGGTGGTATGAAGAATAGTTCTTCTTCCATATCTGAAGCTCTGTAGCTCATCCAATTCCAATATGTTCCTTACCAACCAAAAATGATTATTGAGTTTAGATGCTGTCACGCTGTGAATTTATATTTAAAAGGACCTTTATGTTTTTCATTCTTTCTGTGAACTAAGGAAATAATGAACAGAGAATCAATCAGTAATGAAAATGTCTAGGAGTAGTGTAATGTTCCAGGTGCCAGTTTCAGCAGGAGGTGTGGGTTCCCTTCCATGGGTTCACAGGTCCAGACAGACTCCTGCTTCAGCGAGGGCTCTCCATGGGGTTACAAACTCTGGCACCTCAGGCTATTCCAGCATGGAATTCCACTGTGGAATTCCACTGTGGGCTGTGGTGTGGATGCCTCCTCCCCTGTGGCCCACCATGAGCTGTCAGGGGAAGACTTGCTTCACTGAGCCTCACAGAGCTGAGCAGTATACAGAGGGAACTGAGTGATGCCTGGCTGTGGCGATGGAATAAAATGTGATTGTATTTAATGGTCACATTAAATGAAATTAAATTAATTAAATGCAATTTAATTAATTGTATTTAATGTAATAAAGGGTATGTTCTATGGGATATATTCACAGTTTAGGACCAGTGCTACTTCTGACATTGGTATGGTCTGAAAGTTGACTTTTCAACTATTTTTAATGAAAATGATTTCTTCATAGGTAATATGTAAAGTTAAATCACAAGAAAATGGAAATTGTGTAAAATTAACCAGTTAATTTAAATATCAAAATTTAATCATACATTGCATTTTCATCACAATGGCTGGCTAAACAAATGTGAGAAACTCATTATAAAGAGAAAGTTGATTAACCTATTTGTGTACTCACTTTCTGGATTTATAAGGCATTTTCACACAATTTTATGGAAACTTCCAGGATATGATAAGAAGATGATGCAAGGTCTTAAAACTTGTCCATACTTTGTTTTGAGAGGATTGAAAAATGTAACTGAGGGAAATTTTGCTTGTAAAATTTAATACATAAATAAACTGCTAAACATTGCATTTAATTGAAGTTGAGAGCAAAGAGAAGAAATCATGATTGAAAAAAATAAAAATGACAAAATCCTTGTTAGCTAACTTATTTAAAATCTTCTCATTAAATTCTTTATTTCTGTTTTGACTTGTTTCAGTGATATATGTATATATATATATATATACTGTCACAATATGGATATATGTTCTATGACTTATGTCTCTAATTATTCACTGTGAGTTAATTTATTATATTAATATCTCATTCTCTTGAATAATGGTAAAACCTAAAGAGTGCTGATTTGGATAAATATCTAGCAAAACAGATAATCACATCAACATTTTGAGCTTCACATTTTTAAAATCCTATGAAATCAACATTTCTTTGATTCTTCAAATGAATGTAATCTGCTTTTTATTTCTCATTGAATCAACTGACTCATTTTTGTGCATTTTTGCTGTTTTTTAGTCAGAAGAAAGTCAGCTTTGAAATGCAAAATTGATTGTTTTATCTGGTTTATAAGTTTGTTGAATTTGTGTTTGTTTGTTTTGTATTTTTGTGGGTTTTTTTGTTTTCTTTTTTCTCCTGAGCACAAAACCTATTAAAACAACATTTCTAATGGGCATATTGCAGAAAGAACTCTTACATAAACAGAATGAGATTGCTTTAATTTAATTTTTAAGTCACAGGGAAAATTTAATACCTTCCAGTCCAAAGGCAATGTGACAGCTGAATATGAATATAAATATCTGTAAAAGAAAGTTAAGGAGGAAAAAAAATTAAACTGTTTCTTATTAAATGGCATAAATACTTTTGTTCTAAAGAAGTATTAATAATAAGTTCTTTAAGCAGTTTGCAAGCAGTTACTGCTTGCTTGTGTGTGAGAAGAATTTAAACTAGTTCAGAAATTCAGCAGATTATAGTTGTATCCATCTCTTAAAGGGAAAAATGTTTTGGTTTTGTTTTCTTTTGTAAAATAAGGAGGCATGTATAAGAGCATAAATTATTAATTTCATTTTTTTAATATAATAAAAGTGTGAAAACTTCATTAATGAAGGATGTATTTTCAAAGGGTGAGATTTTCCTTCTGTTTGTATGAGAGAGTGTACTGGCATGTACTGGCTACAAGCTATATGGAGAAAATTACCTTTACCTCCAGTACAAAAGAAAAGGTACATTGCTCTCTTTCTCTAGAACCAAATTTTACTGAATGATCATGAGATCAAAGGACAATAAAACAATATTCAGAATTAGAGTGTACGATAAATAGTTTCTTTCTGATAAATTTGAAATTCAAATTCAATTCTAAATAGAAACCAAAGTTTACTTTAAATTCATGAAATCCATCAAATTCCTACTAGATGCCTAGCAAAAATAACAATGATGTGGTTAATGCTAGATGAATATATCTCTTATGTGGCCATAGAAACTGATTTTCTATACATTCCGAGATAATTTTCATGTAATATTATGTGTAAACAACAGACCTCTCATTCATTTACTTATACTTACATCTTTCTTTTACAGATGACACGAGAGCAATATATATTAGCAACACAGCAGAACAGCCTTCCAAGGACTGAACATCCTCAGTTTTACCCAGTAGGGATTTATGGATGGCGAAAGAGGTGCTTATACTTCTTTGTCCTTCTGCTGTTGGTTACCATGATTGTTAATTTAGCAATGACAATATGGATTTTGAAGGTTATGAATTTCACAGTGGTAAGTATTACAGCAACTTTATATACCTCATTTCTTCAAGTGCTAACTTCTAGTTTCTTTTTCCTTTACCAGGTTATATAGAGATCTTATAATTTTGGAGGAAAAATTGCATGTACTTCTTTGAATGTTAGTTCAGATATTTATACTTTTTATATATATTCTGCGCTGAGTGGACTGCTGCCCTGCCTATTCTGATGTTTTTGGTTAATCATAACTTCTGAAATTATATCTGGATCTTGGATTTTTTTGTTTGTTTGTTTGCCCAAATCAAAAGTGTCATGATGACTGACTGCCCCAAGCATCTTTTGTTTTCTAGTCATTACTAAATAACAAGCAAGAGCAGTTTACTATATCTGTTCTGTATAGTATCTCTCTTAGGAGGGAACTGGGTTGGTCACATCAATTTATCATTCCTTTTAGAGTGGGTTTTTTTTTGGTTTTGGTTTTTTGTGGTTGTTTGGGGTTTTTTTGTTTGTTTGTTTGTTTTTTTTTTCTTTGTATTTTTTTAAGGTTTACTGGCAATTTGGACTGTGTTTCACCTAGAACTTAGAGTGGCTATTTTGGTGTTGATGAGGGATAATGTGAGTCCAAAAGACACATACTTTAATGTGTCAGTCTCTGGCTGGAATATTTAATATCAGCAAAGTGTTTCAGCTGTACACTTGAAAGAACATCTGCGTTCAATGGAAACTGTGGTAGGAGTTGTGTGCTAGCTGGCAGCAGAGTAGTGACTTCTTGTATATCAAAAGAAAAGACAGAACTCTACACAGTTTAAAATAGCAGTGTTTCTGCTAGGATCAGTGCAGTCTTCGTCCCTGGATTTTAACCTTCACAATCCATATTTTGATGTAGTTAGTTCTGACTTTCCAATTCCTATTTCACAGCCCGTTTCTCTTCTCCGTTAGTTTATTGGAAATAAAAGAATAGCCAGAAAAACCATCATAAAACCTGTGTCTAAAATTGTTCTGTATCTGTTGATGATCTGTAATGCATTGGGTTATCTGAAACTGTTGTCTGATGAGACATATTGTGCAAATACATTTATTCTTCCGAGCTTTCCTCTAGTGGATGAGCATGTTGAATTCATATTTTGATAACTGTACAGAAAAGTTTATGTGAATCTTTTGGGGGATTGCCTTTTTTCAGAGGGGTCTTTATTTTCTTTTTTTTTTTCCTGTTTTTTTCTTTTTTTTTTTTAGTGCTATGTATTTTCAAAATAAGACACATAGGATATTTTTGCTTGTTAGAATAATTATTCATTTATACTGGAAAAATATTTAGGCATAACTTTTTTAAACAATTTTAAAATATAAATGTTTAAAAGGCACAGAATTTTTCTCTGTGCAGAAGATTGCATTCCAATAGAATATTTGAAAATATTGTTTCCATATCTAGGGATTGTTTGACCTTCCACACTACAAGATATTATAACACTATCCAGTTTATATCTTTTCAAATTTGACCATGCAATTTTAAAAAAGAAAATGAGAAATTTTGAAATATTTTTCTTTCCAGCTTGTCAAAATTTGTTGGGAAGTTCAAGGTTTATGGAGAATTACAGAATCAGTGCAGGCGTCTTGTGCAGAAAATAAACAGATTATTGCAGCTCCTGTAATAAAACACCTTTTCCTTGATCATATTCAAATACATTTTTTAAATTATGTGCTGAAGAATGAGTTTAGTTTTGAAGACTCTTGGAATGGTGTAGGTAGCCTCCTACTTTGGTTAGTTAGTATTCACATTGGAATCTCTATATGCTAGAAGATTGCTAGAAAATTTTCACATTAAAAGCTGAGTAACATCTTTATACTCTTGTCCTTGCATGCATGTTTGAGCATAAGTGGGAAATTTGTATTAAGTCTGAAAGGGTCGCATTCTTAGGGGAAGGTGTTTGAGTAAAATAATTTAGTTTAGGAACTTAAAGTTCTTGTATTTGAAAAGGCAATGGCTTTGAAATACATATATATATATTTATTCTATGTGCATATATATATGTAGAGATAGGTATAAACTAAGAGATATTATTTGTATGACTGGAGAGTGAGATAAAACCAGAAGTGCAGCTAGAAACCTCAAGAGTGTTTTCTCGAAAGAGGAATATAGCCACGATAAAAATAGTTGCTGAAATTTGACTGCTTTGACATTTTGACATTATTTTAAGTTATTTCCTGTTTTAGCATAAGCCAGAGTGGAGCTTTCTATAAAGACAATAGTAATTGCAACATTTCAAGGGGTCATGAGGAGCCAGGTCATGGTTTGTCATTGCTGTCCGACAATTGCAAATCTGTTAATTTGTATTGGCTGTCGACTTTATATTTTTAACTGTAAAGCTACAGCCACTGACAATTTGGCATAATAAAAGGCTTTCTGTGATTAAGTTTCTAGTTGGAAAAGTTTTCTGAATATACTGACCTTGCATATAAAAGTCACATTCTGAATCTGAGCTAGTTATCCCATGCTCTTTTTATACTCAGAGTGTAGAAATAAGGTCTTCTGTAAAGCATTCGTCTCGTAGTAAGGTAGGCAACTGTCATGAATTTTTCTTAAGGACAGATGTTAAATATCTTATCAAAGAAGTAATTTTAAAAAAAAAGTTTCTTTTCAATTATGTAAAAACATAGTACAGGCAAGGTGTGCTACTCTCCTTTTATCAGATTATGTAATATGACTAGCAAAAATAGAGAAATGTTCAGGGATGTAATCTCTTCTTCCAGTGGTACGAAGGTAAGAAACTGGAAAGGTAAATACAAGTTACAAGTAATTTCCCTGATATATAATATATATCAGATGAGCAAACTAAAAGTAATTAATATTTGTGGAGCAGGAATATTAGATGGAAGAATCATATGCATAGTAATAATTTTTGAAAGATGTTTTCCCACTGGTAGCTTAGAGAGTAAGACTAACATATATTTAATATATAGTCGAATTTTGTTACCTCCCTGTTCAATTATCTTTTTGGAAAGATGTGACTAAGGAGGCCAGTGGCATCTTGGCCTGTGTCAAGAACAGTGTGGTCAACAGGACTTGGGACATGATAATCCCTCTGTACTCAGTACTGGTGAGGTCACACCTCAAATACTGTGTTCAGTTTTGGGCCCCTCACTTCTAAAAGGACATGGAGGGTCTGCATAATGTCTGGAGACAGGCAACAGAGCTGGGAAATGGTCTAGAAAACATGTTTTATGAGGAATGGCTGAGGGAGCTGGAGCAGTTTAGCCTGGAGGAGAAGGGGCTTGGGGTGCCCCATTGCTCTCTACAACTGCCAGAAAGGAGGGTGTAGTGGGATGGGGCTTGTTTTCTTCTGCCATGTCTCAAATGAAAGGATGAGAAGAAATGGCCTTAAGCTGTGCCAGGGGAGGTTCAGATTACATATTAGATTTTTTTATTATCTTTTTTTTCCCCACTGAAAAAGTAAACATTGAAATAAGTTGCCCAGGCAAGGTGTGATATCATTGTGTCCGGAAGTGTTCAAAGCGACCTGGGGGTATGGTTTAGGGGTGGTCGTGGTGGTATTGGGGGGATGGTTGGACTGGATGATCTTGAAGGTCTGGTTTTCAAAGAAGACATGCAAAATATCATGGAAAAATCAAGCCAAGAACTAAAATCCGTAACTTTTGTCAGTATATAAAATAATAGTCTTAGGGGACTTGGGTTTCATGGAGCACTTACAGTTTCCTTTCCTTGTACTAACCTTGGCATGGTTCACAGGTCACCCCATGGAAATGTCTGTCTTTCACTTTCCATCAGAATGTAATTATCTCTCACTTAGTCTATGTTTTATGAGTTTAATGAAGCTCAAAGCTGTTAGTCACTTTTTTCTCTCTCCATACAGTTGCTATACTAGGGATTTCAGGAAGGATGGATGCTCAAGTCATGACTTGGTACCAGAGCCAAGGGGTAAAATATTAATGGTTTTGTGTTTAGAACATCCTGGTTATAGATATATGTAATATATGTGAATTTTAAAGGCTTGTGAAGAAAAAAATATTTTTCTTTAATGTGCCTGCATTCTTGGCACATTTTACATGGACCACAGCATAAGTAATTAGCTGATTTTTTTTTTCTTAAGATCTAATTACTTCAGCATTATTCTTTGATAAAATTTTTGATTTTGTATCATTTTTAAGTTATTCTAACCTCAACAGAGCTATAATTTTATATAACTAATTCTTCATATTGTAAGTGGATAAAGCATATTGACACTCTGTTAATCTGATTAATTACTTTGTAAAAGAGATTTACGGTATATTTTTGTTACTAACCAAATACCAGTGTAGCAATACATGGCTGCAAGTTTTCTGCACATATTTCAAATTAGCTTTATAAAAGGGAATTCAAAGCATTCCTCTTATTGTAGGGATGTGACATTGTGAAATAACGTGGAACAATCAGCATAGAAGTGTAGATCCAGCTCTTGGTGGAGGTGGGATTTAATAAGGTCTCTTTCATACATTTTCTAATATGAGCACATTTAATTGGCATTGATATCAATACTTAACAGTTTTTCCTTTCTTTTTTTCCTGTTTTTTCTTTCCTTATTACATGACATTGATGTCTGGAGTTTACTAAAGCTAAGAAAAAAATGGTAATATTAGAAAAAATGCTCACGTGAATGCCTTTAGTTCTGAGATCTCTTTTTGTGGCCGGTGGCAGCCACATAGAACCAAGTTAATTTACTGGTTTTGGTTGTATATTTGGTTTTGTGTGTCTTCATATTCTGATTACCCCTAGGAATCCATATATGAAAAGACATTTTGTGACCCCCTGTAAGAACGAAGCTACCTGCTTCAGATATTTTCTCTTGCTGTAGCTGCAGTTTTGAAGTCAGTTTTGACTGCTGTCATGACACAATGATGTCTGTATTGATCCATGTTAAACTCCTCTTGCCAGAACTACCATGGGAATTACTTTTAAGATCAGGAACCTGACAACTTATCATCTGGGTAGAGATGGTAAGTTATTTCTCCAGGGACTTTGAACAGTGCTTTAGCTTCAGA